TAATTTTCCACTTTCAAGGCGGAAAAGAATACAGCCAAGCAGAAGAGAATTTTTACTCTTTCCATCACCACTGCTAAAACATACTTACGTTGTATGATTGAAAGAACTGAATTTCAGCTTTGATAGGTTATAAATAGAAAGCATTGTCACTGTCTAGCGGTTCTCCTGCAAAGGAGAGGTAGATGAATAAAATATTGTCATTAAAAAACCATTTTGAGTTAAATCTGAAAGTAGCTGATGAAATATTTCTATAGCTGCACTGTCAGCTCATGCTCCAAGTAGTAACCTCTTTGGCTGTTTTTTTTCTCTCTTTTAAGAAGTAAAAAACACCCAGAACACCCCAAACTCAAAATACCTGAGCCTGGGAGAGTGTGAGTGTCCCAGGCTTGGAATCATGAGATCATGCAACGCTTTGAGCTGGAAGGAACCTTTAAAATGTTCTAGTCCAACCCCCCTGCAATGAGCCAGGACATCTTCAACCACATCCAGCCTGGCCTTGAATGTTTCCACGGATGAGTGTCATGGTTTAACCCCAGCCAGTAACTAAGTACTACACTGCCACTTGCTCACTACCCTCCACCCCTCCGCTACCTCCCTGGGTAGGATGGGGAGGAGAATTGAATGAATGTAAACCCCATGGGTTGAGATAAGAACAGTTTAATGGCTAAAGTATAATACACTACTAATAATAATAATGATAAGGGAAATAACGAGGGAGAATATAAAACTTAAAGGGAAAAGGAAAACAAACAATAAACACAAGTGATGCACAATACAATTGCTCACCACCCAGCCTGACCTGAGCAGTGATCAGTCCCTTCTGGATAACTCCCCCCAGTTTCTATGCTGGGCATAACGTGCTGTGGTATGGAATACCCTTTTGGCTAGTTTGGGTCAGGTGTCCTACCTCTGCTTCCTCCTAGCTTCCTGTGACCCTCCTCACTGGCAGAGCATGAGAGACTGAAAAGTCCTTGATCAGGGTAAGTGCTACTTAGCAACAACTGTGTTATCAGCACTGTTGTCAGAATAAAGCCAAAACCAGCTACTAGGAAGAAAATTAACTCTATCACAGCCAAACCCAGGCCAGCAGGGCATCTACCACCTGTCTGGGCAACCTGGTCTGGTGTTTCACCACTCTCATTGTAAAAAATTAAACCCTTATATCTAGTCTGACTCTACCCTCTTTTAGTTTAAAATCATCATGCCTTGGCCTATCATTGCAGGCCCTGCTAAAAGGTCTGTCTCCTGAGAGACTTCTTCAAGTTACCCAAGATGAAGCCTTTTCCAGCCCTGCCATTCAGACAGATCCTGTTGAAGTACTTTGCTCTTTAAGTGTCCATCCCCAGTCTCACAGAACCTGAACACCCTGCAGTACAGCCTGCCTGTTCTACAATGAGTCAGTGAGGCAGAGCTTCTGCTGTGCTCCCCTTCTGCAGGTATAAAGCTTGGGCTGCCCGTACACTGCACTTATAGAGAGGTCTTGAGTCCAAACTCAATGTCTGTACCTGCTGCCCATTTGAAGGCGCACAGTCATCTCTGGCCCATGCACCCTGGAAAGCTGAATGGCACTGAAATCTCTAAGCTGTGAGTCCACAAGCATGGCTGGTTCCTGGGGTTCAGTTCAGGTATGGTGTGGAAGCAGCCAGGGAGATGGGCTGGTTTGTGCAAACTGGTCCAGATCTGTAGCTGTGTTTTAGGTTAAGGCTCCCTAGGCTAGGCTAGGCTAGGCTAGCACACTTCCCTCCTGCACAGAAAGAGGTGAGGGGAATGTAAAAATGGCCTGTCAGTTTATTAATACCCTTAATGAGGCATTAGCTTTACTTAATATGAAGTGCCACGTGTGTCACATAAGGTCTGGTATTTCAGGGACAGATAATTTAAAACCTAACAGCAATTTACCACTCCAACGTTATCTAAAACATCTCTGTTTGCATTTTAGTTCTTTTCCAGCTAAGCCATGACAGCATTGAAGATTAAAGATTTTTTTATTTCTCTTTAAGATCTCAGCAAAGTGCAGATTTGAAACACAGAAAGAGGTTGACCTTCGTATTAACCTGAATCTCTTTTCCTGTTTCTTCTTGGACATATTTTATTCTCTTTATGCACAGTGGGGCTCTTTTTTCATGTGCTCCGCTGTTGAACAAAATGCCAAAAAGATGGAGTGTGCACTTTTACATGAAAGAAATGATGAGACCATAAAAACTCATTTCCCTTGTGACTTCTTAAATTGTTGCTAAGGAATTGCATGAGTCTGTCTGAAACAATGTGTCCCTTTAAATTCTGTTTTCTTATTTGTCGTCAAACACAAAGGCACAGTTTCGTGTAGGTCCTGATCCAAAGGCCGCTGGAGTCAATAAAAGGTTAGTTACAATCCAAACCAGTGAAAATATTGATTTACTTCATTTTGTTCTCATACATAAAGGTGATGTGCAGAAGAAACAAACACAGGAACCAAATCCACAGTACAGATTCTGTTGGAGGGAAGCCTTTCCTAGTTCTATATACCAGTTTTGGATAATCACCCTCATTGCTGGGATGAATGATTTGTTACTACCACTATCCAGTAAGTTGCTAGAAATAGTCCTGACTGGAACGAAAAGGCATTGTAAAGCAATTATGTTCTGACTATTAACAAAGCTCCTGCAGGGAGCATTAATTTTTAAAAGTAGACAAAGACTGCATTTAGTAGCTGTATAACTGTAGCTATACTGAAATATGGAAAAAGGCTGCAGCAGGTCTACCCCGTTGTAGGTACTCCGTTTCCAGAAGAAGGTTGTAAAGTTCCAATTTAGAAAAGCATTTAAGCATATGAACTTCCTTTCATTTTAACTGGGTATAAATTAAACAAATTGATAAGTCTTTTGCTTAATAACAAACAATTTAAGTACCTGCTTATAGCCCAGGTTCTGGTTTCATTAACGCTTCCATTCCTCTGAATCAGAGCCTTAATCCTCTGAATTGTTATGGCAATTTTGGGGTCTGTAATCCAGATAATTACGTTTTTCCCCCAGAGACAAAGCAGTTTTCTTCTTGAGGATACCCACAGTATGTATCTATAGTGTATTCCTTTCCACAGCTCCAGCCTTCTACTCTCTTGAATTTACAGTTTATTTCTCACTCCAAATGACTAAATACAGTATTTTAAGCAGGTAGTCTTACAACTGTTCAAAATAGTGACTTCTTACTCTACTAGATCATGAGAAAGCTATCACTGGAGAAGACAGCAAACCTCTGTGAAGGTCTCTACTCTAGTCATGCTCAGATATTTACATCTTCCCTCTTCCCCTTGCAGACTCCTGTCACTCTTACACCCAGTTTCTGGATTGTCAGTCTCTATCTTATGCCTAGAAGGAGACACTTGCTGTTATGATTCCACTGTGGGATAGCAGAACAATAGAAAAACATTGCTACCAGTAAAACATGTTTAAATGCTGGAGTGAGCGAGCAGTCCATATCAAAGCCTTTGGGGAGGCATCAAGCCAGTTTCTCAGATTACACTGGTTTTAATCTTACTTGGGTTGTTTGCCAGAAACTTTGAAAAGGTATGACTGTTTTTGTGAGTTTGTCCAGTGCCAAAGTGCGAATAAGGGATATTTACAAAACAAGGCTACCTAGCACAGCTGGCAGCCTTTGGGATTCTGATTCACTGAATGGCTCTAGCAATTCTGTTACTGAACATAGCTCAGAAACCTTCTGAATTACACAGGGGGTTGGTTTTGGGTTGTTTTGTTTTTTGCCTGTTGGCACAGTTCTGAGCTAGAGTGATTGAGGCAGCTTTAGTTCCACACTGCTGGTTCTGAAACTGTTGATGTGGCAGATGCAGGAATACAGGTTCAGAGGATCACAAAGGGATAAGTGGGCAAATTTCACTCCCATGATAACATTCACAGGGTCTTTTTTTGCTTTGCTTACAGGAGTAAAGCAGAGAGATGCCTTTTCTTTTTGGGTGGCAGGAAGTACTGCATACATGATGTTGTGCGAACACATAGGCAGAGGAGAGAGAATGTAGACAGAAGAAAGGGTGTTTTACAAAAGCTGTTCCAGGTTTAGAAAATAAGGGGAGATAGATGGAATGCTGTGACCTGCTCAGGTAGAAAATCAGTAGTAGAGTCAGCCTAGAACTCAAGTCTCTCGATGCCTTGTTTAGTGTTTTCTCTCTGACACGGTTTCTCAAGGCCAGTTCTGTTTACCTTCCTTGGTTATGCTTCCATAGGTAGTTTGCTACTCTGCCTCTGGACTTTCAATACGCCCAATGCAATGGGGAGTTGAAAGTACAGAAGATTTTAAATAGATGCTTTTCCAGATTGTGTTTGCATGTTTAGCTTGTATTTTTAATATGCAGGAACACTGAATATGTGAAATTGCTAATGTTTTCTGTCGATGACATGAAGAATTCCAGAGGTTACTGGTTCTATTTCTGAGCCGTTCTAACAGCGTGCTTTGTCTTTCAGACAGTTGCTGCAGTGACTTGTGTAAATCTGGCACATTCATTCTTGTATTCTTTTCATTTTATTCTTGAGCTTCTTCTTGGGAAGGGGTTGTTTTAAAAATTCATTATTATTTGATTGCATGTTGGATGTCAGCCAGCTAAATTTTTGAATTTGAAAGAAAATGCAGCATCAGCTTCTCTGGAACTATAATGGAATGAAACCCTCTAAGCACTCATTAAATGGGCTTCTGACGTCTCGCAAAATTAGATGAGGTGTAAATCACTGAACTACCACATGTGGGTTTGAAATGGAATATTTAATTCTGTAGAATCCAAACCCAAGGCTAAAAGGAAATCTAACTACACCAGCATGATATTTTGATGATGGAAGAAGTAATACCATTTTTCAAGTTTTATGTTTAAGTTTAAAAAATGTTTATTGAGGGAATTCCCATTTATATCTACATTATTATCTGGAATACAGGCAAACGCTTGAAGACCAGTACTAAAGCACAGTAATAACTTTCCTCCACTGAAGAGTTCCTAAGGGCTGTAGAAATATTATTGGAAAATTCTGATTGTAGAAGCCTGATCATAATAATTATTTCTTCCCTTAGCTTCCTCCTGATAATTTTGTGCTCCTTGATACAGCTCATACTACGGGAAGTTTGTTGTTACTCCTCAGTTACTGAAGGATGGAGTTGGTTCCATTGTGCAGGTGGAAGAGATCAGGAAGCATGAAATAGTCTTGCCTTCAATATTCCTTATATTCAAAATGCAGCTGCAAAATGCTGTTTTTTTCAATAACAATAACATTAGTACTATTAGTAAATATTTCTATTCCTTTTCTTTCCACTGACCCTTGTTGGGATTGGGGCTTAGCTATGCTCACACCATGCAAGTTTCAAAGAGGAAAGGCCTGTCCTGTTGTCTTTGTAACAGACATAAGGAAAGGGATGTGGGTGCATCTCCTGAGCAAATAAATATACAAGAGAAGGGGTCTTACTTTGTTATGCATTAAGTAAGTTTCATTTTGATCCTTGCTAGCTCCATTTGAACTATAGCTTTGTGAGATGATGTAGTTTATGATATGGTTTTACAGGAATATAAATTGTCAGCCTTTAACTGCACTCTCAAGAATAAAGGTGAGATGGCGTTGGTTTATCATTATTATCTAAATGCCTTTCTGATGGAAGACAAGGATTCACTTCACATGCTGCAAAAGTCTGACTGCCCCAACATGAAAACCAGTTTAAACAGAAAACCATGTTTGTTTTCTTGTTTATACTGCACATAAGAATGGAATACTTCTGTACAGAAATGTACTTCCTGGTGACAGGATGGCTGAATAGGCTTTGATTTCTCAAAGAGAACTGTTTGTCTCATCAAGCCAGACAAGGTGGGACTCATGAATTACATTTGAAGAGGCACCACTTTGAAGGCAAGGGAGAGATCACGTGAGAAAACCAGCATTTAAGGAAATCTTAAGCAGAGTTTCAAATTTATTAAGAATAAAGACATTCTTCAGAAAAGGAATGAGCTTTGAAAGACTCAGAATGTGCAGCAGTGTGCTGAGAATAAGGAAAAGATGTGGTTCCTTCACGGTGTTCTCTGGAGTGGGGAAGCGGAGCACTGGGAGTGTGTTGGGATCAAAGGATGGATGGTAATTTATTTTGTGTCCTTTTCTACAGCTACTTTGATATCCAGTATAAGCTGAAATGAATAATGTTCATTTCTTGAGGAAAATATGGTGCATTTGAAAACCAGTGTTCAAATGAGCAATAATCCAGTCTGGCTTCCTTTGTGTTATCCAAAGCAGCAGCGTCTTCAGCTTCAGAGATAAGGGTAGGAAGACTGCTTAATTTCAAAGGTTTGCACTTTTATCTTGGACTGGGAAATATGAATACTTTAATGGGTTTAGGTTTTTAATTTAATTCCAGGTCGCTCATCATTTCACCTTTCAGCTGGGCTATAGAGATAATTCAATCATATTTCCCTTGACAAGTCATCTGAATTGCGCTTATATTTCTCTATAGATGTGAAAATCGGCTACCATAATAAGAGTGTGACAGACACTTTTGCCTTCCCTCCTTCTTTCTCTCTTAATTTAGGGACTGTTCTGGTCTTGCTCCATAATGCAGATATCCTCTGACCCAGGCACATGAAAGACAGCCCTTCTATAAAACATAATGTGGTACTTCTTCATAGACACAGGGCTGAAAGGTTTGGAAGTAAGGCCAGCGAGCAGTAACCAGGCAAGAAAAAGATGAAAAATGCAAAACCAGGAGGTTTGGGGAATGTGGGCTCTATTTTTGACTACAGTTCAAACAACAGACTCATCTGTTTACATGTTTTCTCCCTTCTATAACAGTTTTTCACAGACTCCTTTTATTTTCTTTCCAGAGCTATCCCCTTGCTATCCTGCACATAATCAGATCTTAACTTTTGACCCAAGTACTTGAACACGGAGGAGGATTCTCTGATCTGGTTCTCGATTCCAAATGGGTGATCAAGACACAAATACGAGACGGAAATTACTGGTTTTGCTTTACAAAGACGTTGCAAGTTAATTTTGTAAGTGAAAGGTCTTCTCTTGGAGTTACCCCAACCAAACTCAAGCATTCGACAGATTTGACATTTCCATGCTCAGACGAGATCTGTCTTTTTAATATCCATCTCCCTTTTGAAGTCACTAAACATGACTTTTTTCAACAACCATTTCATCACCTCTGGTTTTATGCTACCCCTGAAGGTCAAGACAGTGACAAATGCTCAGGAGTTAACCCGTGCTGAACTGCACAGTGTGTTGCTGGTTTTAGAAGTCCTCAGGGGTGAACTGCTACCATCATCCCACAGAGATGTTTCTGCCTTCTTCTCCATAGGAAACTAACAGCACTACTAGCATTTTCTTCTAGTTAAGAGGTAAACAGGCATCAAAGGCACATAAAATACGCTTCCCTTGAGGTACAGACTGTAACTCCTGAGTTTATTCTCTGTAATTGTGTAGACCATAGAAACTTGTGAAAGTTTCACATGATGTGCTGTTGTTCTGCTGGTATGATTTTCTGACATTCTTCAGAGAGACGTGGGCATTCATTTTTGCCAAAAATACCCCCAGGAAACACCCATACTGTCTGCTATTTATAAAACTGGCATTCCTTTTATATTTGGCAGGTGTTCATACACAACCCTGGACATCAAACAGCTTTTTTATTCCAGGAATTTTTGGTGCTTTCTTTAAGATAGTCCCTTTCGGCTGTGGAAGCAGCACCAGGATCCTTCTTCTTCATATAGGCAGCTTCTAGAATAAGGTGGGTCTGTAAGTGAGGGTGAAAACCAAACCAAATCAAACCAAAAAATCCTGCAACTATAACAAAACTTTAAAAGTGTACTACTGTGTGCATGTGTGCGTGCACATGCATGTATCATGTGCACATGTGTATGTTCTGACAGGACCATGTCAGACTGCCACAGACTGATGGGGGATGTAGGTAACAATACAGTGTCCTTTTGTAAAGCGTGAACACTAGCCCTATTCTTTACATGAGTTCTCAGTACTACGCTGCTTTGATAGAATGATGAATGCTAACAGAATTCAAAGAAAAGAGAGAAAAGAATACAGGTTATTTTCTGAGTGGTTGTTTTGTTTTGCATTGTTTTTTCAAGTAATTCAGATAACGCAAAATGATAATAATGCATAGATGAAACACATTGAAGAACACTTCTGTTAAAATCCAATTTAAAAATAAAGGCAGTATGGCCTGTTGAACAAAGCCTCATAAAGCCAAGAGAAGCCCTTCTTTCAAATAGAATAAACATAATCTTTAATTATTGTCAAAAGAGTTTTATAAGCTGTTTTACTGTGTTATATCGTGATTTAAGAGGGTGCACTCCTACATTTTCCTTCTGTAAAAGTGAGAAGTATTTTGTTATTTCTTTTACTCTGGAACTACATCCAGCTGCTCTCAGACTGGTAAAACCCCTGTATTTCTCTAGAGTCAACATGGAAATTAAATGAAAGATCAAATTTAGAAATAATGGGAAAAGAGTATTTGGGTTGATAGAAACAACAAAGAAAATGAACAGCTAAGATCAGTTTCTCTTCATTAAGTTAAAGCTTTTAGTTATCATTAGGTTAAAACTTTGTAACTTGCCTGGCATTATGGTAGCTTTTCAGTCAGGAAGTTCTGTAGACAAAGTTCAATACAAATTATTTTTGTCAGTGTAATTAGGCATTCAAATTATTTAAAAGGATGGAATGTGGCTCAGCCCGAGTTATGATTTTTCTCACTTTGTTTTTTGGCAAATGACAAAGGAATCTAGTCTAGAAAAATGAGGGGAAGGCAGAAAATACAGAAGCACAAAATGCAGTAAACTTAGTTACACTACTGTGTACAACAGTGTTGTGAAGTAAGAATGTTTTGCATCAAACTTTTTTCAATGAGATTTAGTCGAACCTTCCTATTGTCAGACTTTTTACAGCCTGAAGCTGTATGTCTTCATGGCATAACAAAACTGTAGTTAGTGATATAACCCATCCAGAGTGTTACCATTCATTATGTGATAATCAATCTTGCTACTGATGCAACTTTTCTTGGCAATGACAAAGCCACAGATCTATTCCAGGAGATGTAATCTAAAATCATATTTCATAGTCTTGTTTTGATTGTCATTTTAGTATTTAGAATGACTGAGTGCAACTGACAGAAGTAAACTGTGATACATGGAATTAATTTCAGTGGACCAGATGCATGCCTCATCTTGTAATGACAGTGGACAATTAAAGTCAACATGGCTGGAGAAGGCACCTGAGAAAATGAAACTCCATTATCTGTCCTTGCTTCAAGCTTGTGAAATTGCTTTTAGAGGACTTGAAGAAGTAGAAGAATTTGGAGAGGAAAATGGGTCAAAAATGATGGACAAGCCATTGTAATGTATAATCCTTACGGAAAACAGCAGTCTTCTGATACAAAGCAGTGTAAGAGTTATTACTATTTCAAGCACAGATCTGTCCCATTTGAACTGGATATGAATATTATCATGCCACTTGTGAATCATTCTGTGCTTCAGCATTTCTTATTTTATTCTGGCTTGCTTGTGCTAGTTCTTTATACTGATCATTATATATGTGTCCTTTTTTATATTTTATAATTTTCTTTCAGATTTTCAGATCATTAAAGAGTTCCTGATGCAATCATGTTAATTTTTGATGTACTTCTAATCTTTCCTCCATGTTAGGATAATTTGCTGTTGTGCCTTTATCTCTTGCATTTCTTTTTTCCTTATCACTTCTCAGATACTTGCATTCCCCTGAGCTATTTGAAGTCCATTACCCTTATTTTGTTATTTGCAATTTAAAGGAAGAATGGAAGACTTATCATTTTTATGATCTTCTTCACTTGAATTAACTTCCACTTTAAGATTCTCAACCACTTCCTCCTAAAGAATTTGAATTAAATCTAAAATAGCTACTTTCTGTGTAATTTCCTCCACTTTATGGGAGAAAAAAGCAGTCCCTAGCACATTTGAAGAACTGAATAGACAATCTATGCCCTGCCTTACTGCTGTTTCAAACAGAGCCTCAGATAGCTGTATTCCCATCTAACTACTAGGTCCTGCCATGTAGGTCTTTCCAGTTTCTGGTCCTTAGACACTTCCAATAGTTGCTATACTGAAAAAGCCTGATCAGAAAATCTTTGGTTTAAACCTGACATTATGTGCACTTTACTCTTTTTTCCTCTCCCATCTTTTAACTGGTATTCAACAAATCTTTCTATTACTTGTTCCTAGACTTCAGGAAAAGTAAATCTGCCCTTTATAAGCCACATTACCTGACTTTTCCTATGGCTATTCTTCTACGATATGCTATGCCTTTCTGTAATTGCATTCCAGTATTGCTGCTGCCCAGCCACACTTCTGCAATGACAGGTCACACTAGGGTACTAATACCATAAGGTCTAGCACTTATATCTGAGACTGCAGTGTTTGTGGTTCTGTACTTCAGATGTTTGATGGCTCACTTCACATTCTCCCTTTCTTCTTGCATTTTCCCCCTTTCTCTCCTCTCCTCCCACCTTGGCTTTGACCATATGTATTCTGGATTGATAACCTGAAAAGGGAGGGAAGTAAAGCTTGCAGAATTTTTTTCACTGGTACCTTTTAAAGCTCCCTGAAAGCCTTGCTCATGAAGAGCAACTTGCCAGGCTAGAAGGTTTTCCTCAGAATTTAGGCTGTTTAGCATCTTTATTGACAACACAGACAGTGAGACTGTGTACACCCTCATCAGGTTTGCTAATGACACCAAGCTGTGTGTTGTGGTCGACATGCTGGAGGGAAGGGATGTCATCCAGAGGGACCTCAACACACTTGAGAGTTGGGCCAGGGTGAACCTCATGAAGTTCAACAAGACCAAGTGTAAGGTCCTACAACTGGGTCAGGGCAATCCCAAGCATAACTACAGGCTGAGCAGAGACTGGATTGAAACCAGCCCTGAGGAAAAGGACCTGTGAGTGAGCCAGCAGTGAGCACTTGCAGCCCAAGAACAAACAGCATCCTGGGCTGCATCAAAAGCAGCATGACCAGCAGGTTGAGGGAGGTGATTCTGCTGCTCTGCTCTTGTGAGACTACACCTGCAGTCCTGCATTCAGTTCTGGGGCCTCCAGAGCTGAACAGAAGAGAGATGTGGAGCTGTTGGAGTGAGTCCAGAGGAGGACATGGCAATGCTCTGAGGGCTGGAGCACCTCTCCTATGGAGACAGGCTGAGAGCTGCAGCTCTTTAGCCTGGAGAAAACCAGGCTCCAGGATTACCATACAGCAGCTCTCAGTGCCTAAAGGGCCTGCAAGAAACCTGGAGAGGGACTTTTTATAAGGGCATGTAGTGACAAGGGGTGAATGACTTTAAACTGAAAGAGAGCAAATTTAGATTAGATACTAGGAAGAAATTCTGCAATATGAGGGTGCTGAGGCGCTGGAACAGGGTGCCCAGAGAAGCTGTGGCTGCCCCATCCCTGGCAGTGTTAAGGTCAGGCTAGATGGGGCTTGGGGCAACCTGTTCTAGTGGAAGGTGTCCCTGCCCATGGCAGGCGGTTGGAACTGGATGAGCTGTAAGGTCCCTTCCAACCCAAACCATTCTAGATTTCTATGATTCTGTGAATTAATCTTAGAGAAGTATCCTTCATGTCCATCTTCACACTGCCTGTGTAGCCAGACCTCCCCCATGGCACTCCCTGGGCCTTTATCCCTGGCTGACAGCATGGATAAGGTCAGCATCTCTACTCATAGCTTCTTCACCTTCACTCATGTCATAATGCCAGTGTCAAGGTTCACAAACAGGAGATGCTACATGTGAAGATATTTTGCTCCTTTGTGGCAATATCCATATGTGTAAGTATGCATAAAACTTGTTAGTTCAGGGAAATAAGGTTATTCTTAATAATGATTACTTCTATCATTATTTCAACCTGCAGTTCTGGAAATGAATGTCTTAAGATAATTAAATAACTGCTTGTGTACTTGACAAAATACAAGATTTATACATGAGAATGATTTCTTCAAATTACTGAAAATAATTTCATTGAATTAATACAACATGCCAGTTGGATTCCTGGCATGTATTATCTGTTTTGACATTAATACTGAAAGAAAATTGAATCTACTCAATTTTTTTTTTGACATCTGTATAGGAGATGAGACAGGGATCAATGCATGCATAACCTCTCATTTTTGCCAATTTCATGCAAATCAAAGGGCAAAAAAAAGAGCATGATTTTATTCAATTATTCCACTATGCCTACTACAATTACTGTTTCATTATCTGTGTTGCAGAGTATTTGATGTACTTTGTACTTGGTTTTCCACTTTTTGCAAGAAACAGTTTCCAAAGTTTAATAGTACAACTACTCAAGTATTAACTGAGAAAAGAAAGAAGTAATATTTTTAAATACATAAAAGAGAATGAACAGGAGAATTCACTAGGCTCCAAAAGCAGTAACTGGAAAGGAAAATGTGATTTTAGGAAAAGCAAATCATTTTGTTACAGTATTCAAACAACTTATTGAGAAATTAAGTATTAGAGAGATTACTACAGTCACCATTATTACAGGTTTTTTAAAAGAAGAGTAAGAAATCAACAGATGATATTGAAGTAGAATCATTTAGACTAGGCAATATTACTCTAAAGGAGCTGAACTGTGATATAAAGACAGAAATCATATTAATCAAAATACAGATTGTATTGTTGATTTAACAGTTATCCAACTTTATACTCTTTTGGTTTTCTTTCAAAGAGATTAAATTTTTCAGCCTGAAAATATTGACTGAGAAATCACGCTTTAGTAGCCTTTGAGGAAATTGGTGTAGGGCTTCCAAAGCTCTTGGGTACCATACAATGTGACAAGGAAAAACCAGTAAGCCACTAATAATAAAAGCAGTCTTCCAAAGTCTTGCAAAGAACAAATAGTGGATAAGAGAAAAAATGGAGCAGGTGATTTATTTTGATTTTCAAAATCTTTTAGTAAGGCTTTTTTTGACATAATTCAGCAAACTAGCCTTATCCTGAAAAATGTGGAAGCCTCTGCTAAATTCTGAAGGAGGGATGTAAATCCCAATAAGGTCAATGGAATTTCATTACCATCAAATAAATTTTTCATCATTTTTCTAAAACCTATGAATAAAAAGAACAAATACAGAAATAAAAGCAGCAGTGGTATGAATCCCAAAGATCATTTCCTGATTTAGAAAAGAATGAGAGAAAATAACTCAAAGTAAATGCTTTCTCAGCATTTACTGAGAAATGAAAAGTATAAAGTCTAATAGCGCTGTCCCTCTGGGATCATTAAGGGTATTGGATAAATTCAGTATACCTCCTAATTATGTGTAAGAAAGGTTGAATTGTGAGATGGAGCTTTGCTGACAAGGAAAAAAATGCCCTAGCTTAGTGAAGATTAAGTAGGATTGTGAAAAACTCCAGAAGGAATAGAAGTGAAAATGAAATGCAGCAGAATGGATGCAGAAAAAGACTTGGCAGAAGGGACATTTGCAGTGGAAAATGTCAGTGTTTTCCAGGGAATTTGTAATGTGTTCCAGGATGCATCAAGGTTGCAGCATAGCATACAGTTACACATCTATTCAGTAGAAAGACATGTAAAACCTTTATACTTTAAAAAAATCAAAGATTTAAGAGTCAAGATCAATGTCAGAAGATTCACTCAGTCATAATGGACACGCTATCACGTATAGCTCAGTTATTTAATTTTTACCACGTGTATAGAAAGTATATAAAAAAACATAGTATGATTTTATTTCCTGGTTCACTAGACTTTTATTTGAAAGCAGAGAGGTGTTTCAAATAACAAGTGTCACTGTCAGTGCTTATAGGACTTGGTTTTGTCTGGCATCTCTGTTTTTCTGAAGTCTCTTTCATCTTTAAATGGACCTCAAGCCAACTTGTCATTTCCCTTGTTATTCTTGATCCAAAGTCCACAATTTTCAAGTAAGGGTGTAAAACTATAATGACTTTTTTTTTCCCTGCTGAAAAATTTCTGCAAAGGATCAAACATTTCAGTAAAAGTCAGACTCTTTCTTTGTAGAATAGATTTTACACCTTGGCTTGCACACCTGCATGAAAAATATGGAATTGTCCCTAAAAATTTCTTCTCCAGATATTGGCTTTGGATAAAGTATCATCAAAATTAGTTTTCCCCTCCTCCGTTTTGTCATTCTTTCTGAGCTTGGTAAACTTCCTACAGTATTTACAGCAGTTTGCTTGCCAATATTTATTGGAGAGGATGGTAACAAACAAGACTTCCTGCTGTAGCAAAACACATGCATGGGTGTTAGGTAAGATTTCTGTATCAAGGTCTCATTTTTGAAGGGTGTCAGTGAATTTTCTGTGAACTTTATTTCTTTCTAAATTAAAAAAAAAAAAAAAAAAGAGTAGGCAAGGGAAGGCTTATATTCTTAATCTTATAAAATTGATACTTCCTGAGAGTTGATGTCTTGGATAAGGCAAATATGAACAGAAAATTGCAATGTAAGTTATTCTGTTAGCACTGGAATCTGCTGTGTAGCGATAAATTTGGTTTACCTTATGGAAGAGAATTTTCATAATGTCAGAAACGGAATGGCTCAGGTGACTCAGTGCTACTCCATGAAAAACTAGCTTGGGATTTAAGAAAAAAAGCCTTATGTTGTCCT